TGATGGCGCCAAGCTGTGCTCAACACTCACCCTATAGAATGTTTCCTTAGGACTTTGCAGAAAACACCAAATCAAGATGCCAGTTGCAAAGATGTGTATCTTTTTTTTAAGATGTACACTCTGCAGGAGAGGGGACAGTGTTTCTGCATGTCTTATGGTGCATTCTTCTCTATAAATGCTCAGAGATATTGATGAGTGGATCTTGGTGATGGGGTGAGCAACTGAAACCCCAGACATTGTTTTGTTCCTTGTGGTAACTCAGATTAAATTGAGAAATACTGACTTTTTTTTTTCACAATTGTCCCAAATATTGCCTTCACATAAAAGAGAGAGGGAGAGAAAAACAAGTTGGAATATCTGCAGTTTGGAGGAGGGCTTCTCAGAACTGTTCTGCAATCTCAGACCTGTAATGGCTGAAATTCTTGTTCTTTGTGTATATTGTACTCTTGCCTACCAGTGTAAATTACTCTGCTGCGGGATGCCTAACTGGAGAATACACAGTGATTCAGAATCATAGGAATAATTTTGGCCTACAATTTTCTAAAAACCAGACATATAAATACCCATGAGTTAGTATTCAAATATAAATATATTGCATCACTGCTAAAGTAGCTGTATACCTGATGCCCCTAGATTTTAGAAATGTTTAATCTATGTTGGATGGTAGAAAGGAAAGGTCGTTTGGGCTGCACAAATGAATTACGGTCAAAAAAGCTTGAGCCGCCTGTCCCCCTCACCCCAGCCATTTGTACAGAGGTGGATCATCCAAGAAAAGCTCAGATCCAGGACTAACCTTTATCTGTGATGCATGTTGGGTAAAATACCACACAAAAGCAGATGTGGAGTGCCAAGAGTAAACAAGGGCCCCCAAATGGTCATCTTTTTATTATAAGGGTTTTTTTTTTTAAACTTGGGTTTCATTTTGACTTTACATAAGGCTGAGAATATTCCTAACTCCTCAAATACCAGTAGGTTAATTGACTCACGAAAAAATGTCATATCTAAGAGGAGGTAGTCATGTGTATCTTTCTGATGGGAAACTCAGATATAGTTCAGATATAGTTACAGATGCTGAGAAAATGATTAAACCAAGGCATATTTTGCCACAATCTTAATCAAGGTAGAAAAGAAGACGTGGCAAAGGTTGAGGACAGGTGGGTGACAGGCAGACAGTTAATGAGATGTGCGCGATGGAACCTTCCAGATGGCTGGGATTTGTGGTGCTATAGAACTACACCGTTACATTTACTCCCAATTCATTGTCAGAGGGGTAAATGGCATTTGAACAATATTTCATGGATCTGTTTATCTGGGAAATTTTTATTTTGAACAGTTTCACTCTTTCTAAATATTAAATAAAAAATGTGCTATATAAAGATACCAAGTATAATATTTTATATCTGATATTTCAGTTTTCATTAACTATTATTATTATGTGCTTTGTTTCTGAGTTTGCAAAAGAAAAAAAAATAGGGATGTGAAGAGAGAACTTTTCTATAGCTTTGTATTTTTCTAAACTTAAATTTTTGAATAATTATAGATCCACAGGAATTTTGCTAAGAAGGAATGGTGAGGTCCTTTGTACCCTAGTTTCTTCTAATAGTTGCATCTAACTCAATGATGAGACTTTTGTCAAATCAGGAAGTTGACGCTGGAACACTGTGTAGGTTTAGTTGTCTATAAACTTGTTTTGTGCATATAGATTCATGTAGCCACACCTGCAATAAAGATGCAGGACTGTTGTCATCACAGAGGTCTCTCACACTATACCTAATTTGTCCTCCATCTCTGTAATCTTGGCATTTTAAGAATACAAGTAATATATGACCCTTCGAGTTGGCTGTTTTTCACTTAGCAAATTGACCCTTTAGATCTCGAGGACATTTTGGTTGTTTCTGGCTATTGATTCTTATTTATGGTGACAAATCTGCCATCATTCAAGTGTTTTTCTCTTATTAGTGAAGTGTCATTTCTTCTCCCTGGTTTCATGGTTTTTCTTTTTTGTCTTAAGTTTTCAAAAGTTTTGACTTTGAAGTGACTTCATGTAGATCTCTATGCATTTATCATTTTTAGGGTTTGCTGCTTCTTGTACTTATAATTTTTTTTTTTGACAGGCAGAGTTAGACAGTGAGAGAGAGAAAGAAAGGTCTTCCTTTCCGTTGGGTCACCCACCAAATGGCCACTACGGCTGGCGCACTGCGCCAATCCGAAGCCAGGAGCCAGGTGCTTCCTCCTGGTCTCCCATGCAGGTGCAGGGCCCAAGCACTTGGGCCATCCTCCACTGCCTTCCTGGGCTACAGCAGAGAGCTGGACTGGAAGAGGAGCAACCAGGACAGAATCCGGTGCCCCAACTGGGACTAGAACCTGGGGTGCTGGCGCCGCAGGTGGAGGATTAGCCAAGTGAGTCATGGTGCCGGCCTACTTATAGGTTTTTGTCTTTTGTAAAATTTGGAAAAAAATTTTCAGCCTTTATTTTTTCAAATACATTTTGGGTTCCACTCTCTCTCTCTTCCTGTTATAGGACTATGATGACTGTTGGTTATTTTGACATAGATACAGAGTTCCCTGAGGCTCTGTTGACGGTTTTTGTCAGATTTTATTCCCTCTGGCTGTCTGATTAGGGGATAGCTTTTGTCTCATTAGTAAGGTCACTGGTCTCCTCCCCTTCTGGTCTGTCTGTCCTTCTGCTTAGCCCATCCATTCACATTTGTGTTGGGTTTTCTTTTTTCAATTCTGAAATTCCCATTTGATTATTCTTTGCTGAGATTTTTCCCTATGATTTCATTTGTTAGAACGGTTCATTGAAGCTTTGCATTTTGGAGCATTTTTGAACATTTTTAAGAAGGCTGTTTCAAAATCCTTGTCAGATAATTCTAACGTCTTTGTCATCATTGTGTTGGAATCTGTTGGTTTTCTTGTTTAAGATAAGGTTTCTTTGGGCCGGTGCTGTGGTGTAGTGGGCGAGGCCAACTCCTGCAGCGCTGGAATCCCATGTGGGCACCAGTTTGTTGGCTGCTCCTATTCTGACCCAGCTCTCTGCTATGGCCTGGGAAAAGAGTAGAAGATGACCCTAGTCCTTGGGCCCCTGCATCCATGTAGGAAACCCAGAGGAAGCTCCTGGCTCTTGGCTTCAGATTGGCCCATCTCTGGCCATTGTGTCCATTTGGGGGGAATGAACCAGGGGATGGAAGACATTTCTCTCTGTCTCTGCCTCTCTATCCTTGTAAGTCTACCTCTTGAATAAATAAATGAAATATTTTTTAAAAAATGAGGTTTCTTGATTCTTGGTATGGAGAGTGATTTTTGTGGAAACTTGGACATTGGGGGATTGTGAGATTCTGGATATTGTATTCCTTCTGGTTGTGCAGGTCTCCCCTGAGACTGCCTGGTAGGGGCAGGGATTGCTGCCTGGTTACTGCCAGGTAGGAGTGGAAGTCCAGGTTCTCCACTTCCCCTCCATTGCCATCCGAGGGGAGTCTTCCCCCTCACAGCTGGAGGGGCGGGATTCCAGGCTTCTCACTTGGCCTCCACCAGCACCACCATGATTGGGAGGGCCAGGAGCACCTCATTACTGCCTCCCATGAGGCTTCTTCTGTCCCTGATGGGGTGGCCTTGCTGACTCTCCAGCAGTCCCCGTTAGACACCACCCGAGAGGAGAGAGAAGTGCCTCCCTTGCGGCCAGGTGCAGTTAATCCCAGGTTCCCCGAGTGGTCTTCACTGAGTCTGTGCTGATGGCAGCAGGGCCTAGTGTCTCACCACGGGCATGGAGACGCTGGGTTCCTGCCCCATCTTCTCAGCCTCTAGTGAGGGAGTTTGGCTGCCTTGCTGCAGCTTTGGGAGGATAGAAGTCTCCGAGACTTCGCACTTGGCCTTTCCTGCTGGGGATGGGTGGGCAAAACCATTCTTTTTTTCCTGTGGTGTTTGGTTAAGTGGTTATTGTCTGAGGGTTTTCTGTCTTTCTAGGCTGTGTCTTCTCTGGTTCTTTGGCTAGAGAGAGCAAGCTCTTGGGCTTGCTGCTGTGTCTGCCTCTGCTGGCGTTTCTGGGTTGTCAGTCTTTGCAGCTTTTACTCTGGGACAAATGAGGTGAAAAGAAAACCTAGGGAGCCCACCACAGCATCGTTCCTCAGGCCCCAAATCTCTACTTAGCCTGTTTTATTCTTTTACTTTTCAGAGTCTTCTTATATTTGTTTTATATGTAACTTCCAGGATTTTTAGCTATACAGAGGAGGAAGAATAAGGAACTGTGCACCCAGTTAATATTTTTTTGGAAGGTGAAATTCTTTACTTTGCTTTTTAAAGGTGAGACTAATTATTCTTATTACCTAAATGTCCAGTGACAGCTCCATGTGCCTGTGGTATATTATGCAACCACTAAAATGATGGTCATGAGATAATCTTATGTTATTTATTAGGACTGAAAATGCTTAGATGACATAGTGAAAAAGGGAAAGATTACACAACTGTTTATCTGCAAATGTGATTGTATCTAGGTGGAAAAACCTGTTTTAAAAAGGCTAACAATGATTGCTGGGTGGGGGATGGGAGGAAATTATGCAAGAATTTTCTCCCTTTAATGTGTTAATGTTTTAAAAAGTTAACTTAGTACTTTCCTAATAAAAATAAAACATGTTGTATTATGTTTTTTAATGTTTAAAATATTTGAGAAAAAGAGGGCCAGGGAGCAGTGCTGTGGTGCACTGGGTTGAAAGCCCTGGCCTGTAGTGCCAGTGTCCCATATGGGTACTGGTTCAAGTCCTGGCTGCTCTACTTCCAATCCAATTCCCTGCTGATGTGCCTAGGAAAACAGGAGGATGCCCAAGTCCCTGGGCCCCTGCACCCACAAGAGAGACCTGGAAGAAGCTCCTGGCTCCTGGCTTCCAATCAGCCCAGCTTTGGCCATTGCAACCATTTGGGGCGTGAACCAGTGGAGGGAAGACCTCTCTTTCACTCTTGGTCTCTACGTCTCTCTGCAATTCTGTCTTTCAAATAAATAATATAAATATTTAAGAGAGAGAGACAGACAGTGAATGAGCAGGTATGTCATTTGCTGGCTCATTCCCCAAGTGCTGGGAGCTGGGAACTCAATCCAGTTTCCCATAGCGACAACAGAGACCAAACACTTGAATACCCACTGCTGCCTCCCAGTGTGCACTTTAGTAGGAAACCGGAATTAGTGTCAGACCTGGAACTTGGACCCAGACACTTGGATATGTGATGTGGGTGTCACAAGTAGAGTTGTAACAATTGCACCAAATGCCTTTCCCAGTTTATTATACTTTATTTATAAGTTTTCTCTCAAAAAGATGCATACAAGTATCTTCCATGGTAGGTGACATTTTGCATGGATTTAATGTATTTGTATTTGAGGAGTTAGAGAATATTTGCAAATTCAAACTATGGTCATGGGTTTAAACAACTGCTTTGCCATCAGGCGGCTTTTATATTAAGAACAAGAAGTCACAGAGCTGTATTTACCATGCTAAAGCAATGAAACACATTGTATTTGGAGATTTGCAAGAAAGCTCTACTGGCTCCTAGAATACCAAAATGAGCTGAAAGGAGAGAAAATGATAAAGCAGAAATATCTAAGGATACTTGGAGGACAATTGAAGCTCTACAAGCCCTCCAGAGTTGCGTTTCTGGTTTTGACGTCCGTCATTGAAGCCCGTCTCCTGGCCTGGTTTCTCCCCCTGACATGCTGAGTGTTTAAGGATCACAAGTGGCAGTTTTCAATTGTGCAGAGAACGTAGGCTGAGCATGGCTCACAAGTGCTGTTTGATGTGCACGCTGTAGAACAGGGATTACAGGAAAGCCTGGGGAAAATTAAGGTGGATCCAAGCTGAACCAGGGAATCTTGATAACATGTCCAAGTTCAAGTTCACCCTACACATTGCATTCTGGAGAAAACTCCTTGTCAAACAGCCTTGCAGGGAAGCCTGTTTCAGCTGTGGACCCAGAGTGTTACATGGTGCTCCCTGCAGCAGTGGCTGCTGAATAATATGTTGGGGGTGTTTTCTTCATTTTGTAGTATACTGTCTTAGGCGTGTTCCTGATTAGTGGAAAAGAGGTGCGTGAAGAAGCCCCCAGCTTGGTCCTTGTTCTGCTCTGGGGCTTCAGAATATGCTAGGACTTTTCTATTGGTGTGTGCTTAGCCTCAGCTAGGTTTTCATCAGTCTTTCAAAAAGATCCCTCGATGCACTGGGGAGGTTTGACCTTGGCCCTACGGGGGAAACAGGATTCTTCACATCAGCCACTTTGACTGGGGGATTCCACGAGTCACTGGGGAACTCACCTGCAGTCCTCACTGTCCAGCAGGCCCCGGTACGTGCTGATCTCTGACTCCAGCCGGGCCTTGGTGTCCAGCAGCACCTGGTACTCCTGGTTCTGCCGCTCCAGGTCGCAGCGGATCTCAGCCAGCTGGTTCTCCACATTATCAATCAGGCATTGCATCTGGGCCAGCTGGGTGCCGTACTGGGCCTCGGTTTCTGCCACAGTGCATTCCAGGGATTCTATCTGCAGGAGGAAGACATTGTCCAAAGACTAGCACAGTCTCTGGGGCCAGACAACTTGTGTTCAAATTCTTGCTCTACCCTTTTCCAGCTATGTGACCTCGGGAAAGTTCCTTAGGTTCTCTGAACCTCAGTTTTGTTCTCTGTAGAATGGAGAATGCAAAGTCCCTATCTCATGGGAAGGCTGTAAGGATCAACCAAGTTGATATATGCCAGTGCTCGGAGAAGTGTCTGGAAGAATTTTAAGGGCTGTGGAAACGTTAGCTATTGCATCTGTGATTACTGCAACCGATGGGGTGTTTGTGTATCTTACGGAGTATCCGTAGCATTTGAGAAGAACTCTGAATTTGGGGTCCTGGTAGGAGGAGTGGGATAGTGTGGTTTACAGGAGGAGCTCCGGGTTGAACCACTTGGATTCAGCTTCCACTTCTGCATGACCTTCTGCAGATTTCTTAATTTGAATATCAGTTTTCCTTGTCATTGTTATGGGGTTAATAAAGGTTTCTATCCCATAAAGTTATGGTCAGGCTTGAATTAGCATGATGCCTCTCACAAGAAGAGTGCTCAGCTATTCTTCATCTAGAAATTCTGCAGGACCCCACACAGTCCACACTGCAGTGCTGGACTGGAACTGGCTAGTGTAATCTTGCCTGCGTGGTAGCCTTGCTGCCTGCGTGGGCTGGGTGGCGTGCAGTGAAGGATCAGGGTGAAGTGTGGATCCTGAGAAGTGTTATGATCATTGTAGGGTGAAAAGTTTAAAGTCTTTGTTTTAGTATAATGGTGATCTTGGCATATTGGCCTGATCAAAAGAGACTTAAAATCCTCTGGACTGCCTACGTGCTATGCTGCTGTGGCCTCTCCACTCCTGCCTGTCTCTGGGGGGTGCCGCAGGATCGCACTCAGGCCTGCGGGGAAGGTTAGAACACCCTGGTGGGCCGGTGCAAGCTGTTGACCTGTCACTTCTGCCTCTAGCTGGGTAAGCATGGTGGTTGGAAAGGCAAGGAAGCGGAATCCTTGCAACTTGGAAATCCAGACCTGCCACACGAACTGGGGATCTCTGCCTTGGGTTGTGGGAAAGGGTGTTTGTCAGAGCCCGATTTATCAGTGACAAGGCGGACACCTTCTTTGCCATACGCACCAGGCTTTGCTGTGCCTGAAGTTCAATTTCCAGCGTGTTGGCTGTGCGTTTCAGCTCCAGCATCTCCGTCTGGCAGCCCTGCAGCTGCTCTGCACTGGACAGCTGCTGCTGATTCAGCTCCTCTGTCTGAAACACAGGCATGGTTAGAGAACCCTGCCGAGGCACATGCGGGGAGTCCTGCTCCCATGTTGCTTCGGGCCTGACCTGAGCAGCGAACCACTCCTCCACGTCTCTGCGGTTGTTGGCGAGCAACGTCTCATACTGACAGCGCATCTCATCCAGGACCTCGTTGAGGTCGATGGTGGGGGCGGTGTCCAGCTCCACACTGAGTCGGTCACCGAGCTGGCCATGGAGCAAGTTGACCTCCTGAAAGTGGGAAGGGAGTGAAGAATGTCACAGAGCAGTAGGGCAAAATCCATCCGACACACAGTGGCATCCCATTCCCGAGTTGTGAAATACTGAGTAAAAGTGTAGGATTTTAATTCTGATGCCCTGGGCTAATTCTCTTTCCCCCCCTTACAAGTGCCCAGTTTCTTCTGCAAAATTGGCATAGTAATTTTATTTTGTTCTGGGGGATTATTGTGAGATATGGAAGAGTTAATATGTGCATACATATAAAGAATTTAGGAAGTTGCTTCAAAGAGGATGTTCTCAGTAAATGTGAACTGTTGTCATCATCCACAAATGCCCAAAGAGAAAACACATCTATTACATGATTCTGCACTTCATTTTCTGGTTCATCAAAACGAGATCAACACTTTCGTATTTTATGATTTTAAAAAGTTCATAGAAATGGGATATTTAAAACTGGTCTGGATACCAGAGGCGTCTTCATGCCCTATCTGAGGTGGACGTCACAGTGGAGTGGTCAGGCTGAGCGCAGTAGAGCCTCGAGGAGTGTTAGTTCAGCTTCAGCAGTGTTCTCCCAGGTTCAGTTTGCACACATCAACTTGAACTCTACCAGTGTAACGTTTCCACTCTTAGACTCCTTCTGGGTTGCTGCCTCTTTCTCACCTCTTTATGGCTTTTCTTAAGGCAAAGGAGATCATCCTTCAGAGACTCCACTTGGGCTTCCAGATCAGATTTGCACAGGGTCAGCTCACCCAGGATCCCACGCAGGCCACTGATGTCATTCTCCACCAGCTGACGCAGGGACAGTTCACTGTCGTACCTTACACAGCAAGAGAGATACATGCAATGCTGCTTTCCCACACACCGTGTAAGTGCTGGGTGCACTGCGGGACTGACACACAGGCTCAAGGAAGCCGCATGCTGTCGTTTATTTTGTGTATGAAATAATTACAAATTTGAGCTTTTAGAATATTTTAGCTTGAAAAAATTATATAGAGAATATTCTGTGTGTGTGTGTCTGTGTGTAAGAGACACAGAAAGAAAACCACAAATTATATTCAAATTGCAGGTAAACTTACTTTGTCCGAAAGTCCTCAGCAGCCAGTTTGCAGTTGTCGAGCTGTACAGCAAGTCTAGAATTCTCTGCTTTCGTGCACAAGATCTGAGAAGCAAGTTATTAGGTAAAGTAAATGGTTCTTGGAAAGAAACCTGAACACCTGTACCCTTCATGGCTCTGCCATTAGTTGTCTGTGAGGGGATGTAAGAAAGAATCAAGCTGCTTTCAGCCTGCTTGCTTGTTAACTTTGTGACTTACTGAAGAGAAAAGGCAGTGCCAACTTAGAATCAAAGCACAGACATGAAAAGGGCTCAGGACATTTCCCAATATTGCTTGGCAGTTGAATGCTGTTCAGGTCTTCTGCATCAGTAGTTTGTATTAGAACTGTATCCCCACCAACAGTAATAGAAATTCATCCGTAAGAGAAGAAAATGATTTCTAGGTGAAATTGTATGATATAACAATGGCATTTCAATTCTGGTGTAAAAATTGATATAAATGTGCAGGGATGCATATGGAAGTGCCACACACACACTCTATAGGAGATACAGCTGAAGACCACCAGCCCCTGTCCCCATCATAGCCCCTTGGTGAACAGGGGCAGCTGTGGGGCTGCTGCTGACTCCTAACCTTCAGTCCTGTGCCCTCTCTTTCATATCTCATGAACTCACAGATTTCGCCTTTCCTTTGGTTTCTTTCCGCAAGAATGCCTCTTCTAAGGTAAAGGTAAAGCCAATCGTAGATTAGGAAGGTGGAACATTAAGGTGACGAGACACGGAACCTTTTGCTGGAGATCTTCAATGATGTTGAAGTAGCACTGACAGTCAGGGCACGGCAGTGGGATACTCTCTTGACACTGTTCTCGGATCTTGCACTCCAGCTCGGCGTTGGTCTCCTCCAGGCTGCGCACCTTCTCCAGATAGCTGGCGAGTCTGTCATTCAGGAGCTGCATGGTCTCTTTCTCGTTGCTGTTGAGCATCCCATCCTCACACCACGCGCAGCTCCCTGCCAAGCATGGACTGTCACAACTCCCAACCAAGTAGCATGGCGTGAGGCAACGGGTGGACAAGCAAGACCTGGAGAGGAAGCCGGGGCTCCGACATCTGCCTGCAGAGCCGTCACTGGGGAGACAAGTCCTTTCCAGGGAGTGGGCGGAAGCAGGTGCACAGCCAGAGGCTCTGGCACAGGACTCAGAAGAGCAGTGTGTGTGGGAAGCTTCGGAAGTCATTCTTGAAGTGACGAGCAGAGAGTGTCTGCAAAACTCCTTTGCTTTGACTCAAAAAGTCTCCTTCCTTCCTGAGACTTTTATATAGCACTTCCCTGCCCTGGGTATTTACAGGGGCACCAGATGTTTTCTGTACCCTGTCAGTACCAGTTTCCATACAAACGTTTCATTAGTGTTGTTTATTTATGGAGGAAGAGTTTCATGCCTCATAAAAGAGGGCTAACTTTAGGTTACTAAATCAGGCCCTACACTATTTCCACAGGTCAGTAGAACAAAATTCTTATTTCAAAAAATCATCATAGAAAGTATTGTCCTTTTGACAGAAAGAAAAAATTCAGCCAAGCAATAATGACAGGTACAACCCATCACCAGGAGGAAAACTACATGGCCCCAGAGTTTGATTCTGTGCACTGATCCTTGTGTCTACTTTCGAAAGCTAACCTGTAAGACCTGTGCCTGTTTATGGGGCACAGCGCAATATTTCAACACATGTACATGGTGTAAACAGCTCCCTTCAGCATTTCCACTTCCTTATCTCTGCTTTAAGTTTGGAGCCTATGGACTCCCCTCTTCTACTTTTAAAATGAGCACTACAACTCAGTAACGTTTATTTGTTTGTGTTACCGCCATAAAAATGGTGAGTGTGATGGGTAATATTGCCCTGCTTTTTGCGAACGGTGAGATGTGTATGGCTTTTAGTGTGTGTGCTGTGCACATGTGTGCCATCTCCCTGTATAGCAATAGAAGAATGCTGTGCACTGCTGATGGGAGCAAATTGTTCCTGGCAGAAAAAAACATAAATTGGTCATCAAGACCTGGAATTGGATCTTTGATTTTCTGAAACTTACCTCCTCTGTGTTTCCTGCACATCATTTTTGATCAGTTATGCTATTTTTTAAACTTGTATTTCTTCTTTTTTTTTTTTTTTAACAGGGAGAGTGGACAGTGTGAGAGAGAGACAGAGAGAAAGGTCTTCCTTTTGCCGTTGGTTCACCCTCCAATGGCCGCCGTGGCCGGTGTGCTGCGGCCGGCGCACCGCGCTGATCCGATGGCAGGAGCCAGGTACTTATCCTGGTCTCCCATGGGGTGCAGGGCCCAAGCACTTGGGCCATCCTCCACTGCACTCCCTGGCCACAGCAGAGAGCTGGCCTGGAAGAGGGGCAACCGGGACAGAATCCAGTGCCCCGACCGGGACTAGAACCCGGTGTGCCGGCGCCGCAAGGTGGAGGATTAGCCTAGTGAGCCGCAGCGCCGGCCCTAAACTTGTATTTTAATAAGACTGAAATGGAAGTTCTGAGTTACAGTCTTTCTTTCTTGGGAAACCCTCCTTGATTACACTTCAGGGTAGGGGAAAAGAAATCACGGAAGTCTTTTTTTCTAGATATTGAATCTATTTTTAAAATTTAATCAAGTCCTAAATTCTGTGAAAATTAAAACTCCTGGAATTTGGAGAATAAAATTCTATCATATTGGTCCCAAACCAGCAGTTTCATTGGGAGAAGTCTCTGCTGCAAGAGTGGATGGACAGGGACTTGAGATGTAGCTTTGTTCATTGTCTCTTGGATTTAACTTCTATTATGAAGCATAATCTATTTCTTGGCTTTAATTGCATGTATTTCATTTTCAAAGATGCATAGAAAAGATTGACTTTAGAAACTTTAACATCCTTATAGAACAAAACCGTAAGAACCATACAAAGTTAAAAACTTTATGATCCAGAATAATCTGAATTTGTTTCCCTAACTGTGAGCTCTGCTTCCTAGGTAGCTGCACAGGAGGTAAAACTGGAAGAAATGTCTATAAATGGATTAAGAAAGACTCTTAGGATTTATTATTCACTGGGAAAATTTGCAGTTGAATTTAATGATTCCCTTTACATTTGAACACCTACGTTAAAGTTCCTAGAGTGTGTCTTGGTGTATGGATGCTGTTTTGCAAAGGGCATCAGTTCAAGTATTCAGAAATACATTTGAGAGTCAAAAATCTCTGAAAGAAAATTATAGCCCACAGTAACCCAGTGAGTCAAAAGAAGAAATATCTTGGGAGAGAACCCATGTCTTGGTTGTCCATCACAGGTTCCAGTTAATTAAAATATAGCACATAATAGGTCGTTATTTTAAAATCACTGTAGGTAAAATGAATACTTCCTTCTGTTTAGAGCTAGTTGTAAAATGTTGCTTCCTTGTCATTGATGTTTGTACAGGGTAGGACTACATACTTCGGTTTGATTAGTTGGGTAAGGTTGTATAACAACCTATAGCCGTAGTTCTCATCTTGGAACATGGAAATTGCCCAGAATTCATTTATTATCATATCATTCTGATAAGAAGGGAACATTGGGAACAGAGGGAAATGAATAGAGGCCATAGAAAGGTCACGACAGAAGCCGTCATTATATACAAATATATATATATATATATATATATATATATATGTAAATATGCTCCTATCAATACCAGTTTTTGTATAATTCAAGTCTTTTTTTTTTGTCATGCTCTACTTTAGAAGTCCACACTTTCTGCCTGGAAAACACAACTTAATCTCTTGGCCCGTCTCCTGAAGTACTTCTCACAAACCTCAAGCGTTGTCGGGGCTGATCGGCTGCCATCCCTGTCCTGTGTGAACTTGCATGTTAGGACTCGGCTGAGATGTTACTCAGCCACCTCACGTTGAGACAGGGGCTCTTCCCAGAGCATTCCACACATACCTCCACCAGAGTGCTGGCACTTTGCTTTTAAGGCTTGTTAGATAAGTTTATTGGTCCTTCTTGAACAATGTTCCTTTTAAAACAGGTGTTCTCTTCTTCTCCCTAGCAGATGGGACATAATACAATAGGATCTTAATAAATGTCTGCTCAAAATAAATACACTTGCCTTACTGGAGGTTTCTGGTTTGGTAGATGACTCCTTAGGAGAAAGATCCTGTACTGAAGGACAAGGAAGCTCGAAGGAGGACAGAGGAGGCCCGGCAGCCATAATGTTTGCATTCTGGGTTCAACACTGCTACTTACTAGCTGTAGTTTTTCAAGTCATGAGGCCCCTTTGGACTTTACTTAGTCCATCCATGAAAGGGGAGTAATAGTATCTGTGTACAACTGTCAAATAATAAGCCATATGGATATCTTTGACTTTATGAAGAGTGAGATGTAAGACCATTTAAAGGTTTTCAGTTGATCCCTGTTGCTCATGTTCTTGTTCTGCTTGCACATGTTTTTTAAAAATGGCAACAACCAACCCCACTTACTGAGGTTCTGTTTTCCAGACTGGTTCATTTCTTCCTCATAGTCAGCCAGTGAGTGGGTATTATCTCTGTTGTACAGAGAGGATCACTGAGGCTCAGGAAGTTGATTTGCTTTCTGAAACCGAGTTAGTAAGTTTGTGTTTGTGTTTCCATTGAGATAAAAATGTGCAAATGGTTAAATGCAGTTTTGCCAACTGCACATAACTGTATAACCGTCACTCCAGTCAATATGTCAGAATTTCCATCACGTTTTCCTGTGCTCCTTTCACTCAGCGCTTTTCTTGGAAAGCTGTGACATGGACTCCTGTCACTGTAGATTGATAGTCTCTACTCTTGAATTTCACGTGTGAAGTCACACAGCATGCATATTTCTGTGTCTGGCTGCTTTCACTCAGTGCCAGTTTTTTTTTTTTTTAATCTTAAATTAAAGTTAATTTAATATTGATTTAATTTGATTTAAGTTTAATTTTTAATTTTAATCTTTAATCCATTCTGTCTTCATTAATTGTAGAGGAGTATTTCATTGCGTGCATGTACCACAACTTGTCTGTTGTTCTATGGGTGAACATTTGCGTTCTTTCTTGTTTGAGGCGATTTTGAATGAAAGTCCTATGGACATTCTTTGCCGAATAGTTTTGTGGATACATGTTTTCATTCTGTTGGATCACTAGCTATGGGGTAGAACTGTTGATTCATAGGGTGGGTATGTATTTCTCTTTGTAAGAAACTATCATACTTTCCCCCCAAGTAGTTAGAGCATTTTGTACTCTGACCAATAATATCTGAAAGATTTAACCACTCCATATCTTCAGTAACATTTGATGTCGTCAGACCTTTTAATTTTAGACATATTAGTCTTTGTGAGATGTAGACTTTAACTCACATTTCTGTGATGATGAATCATATTGAGCACCTTTTAAAGTATTTACTGGCCTTGTAGAGATCTTCTTTAATAAAACAATCACTCAGGTCTTTGCTTATTGTTCACTGGTTGTTTATCTTTTTATTACTGATTTTTCAAAAAGTTTTTTATATGTTGAGTGCAAGTCCTTTTTAGATACATGTATTTTAAGTATTTTTCTCTGATAATGGCTTGTATTTTTATTTTTGTAATGATGGAGATAGATTTTAATCTTGAGATGGTCCTGGTTATAATTTCTCCTGGTTAGGACTCTTTGTGACCTAAGAAATATTCCTGTTTTAGAAGTGATTTCTCAATTTATAGTTTGTTATCTTAATTCTTCTAGTATCTTTATAATTCTAGCTTTTATGTTTAAGTCTGTGAAAATCTTAATTTGGGGGTGTGATGCAGAGTTGAAGATTTTTATTCCATTCAGTTGATCCAGCATCATTGACTGAAGTGACATCTTCATCAAAAATATGTTGACTGTGCCTGGGTAGGTTCTGTTCATTTTTCTCCAAATCTTTTTTTCCTATTATTTATTATGTTTTGATATATCTTAAGATCATTTTGCTCTGTCCTAATAATTCACTGCCTCATCCCTAATTGGCAGTATGCAATCACCTATTAAATCTGTCTTTTATATTCTTTATTTTTGATATTATACAACCTAATTTTAGAACTTTCATTTGCTTCTTTCTTAATTTAAATAATTTCAGTTTAACTTTTAATCTATTAAAGATTAAAATTCTACTTTTCTTGTGAGGGCCTTTATCTTTTTAATAAATATTTTTATAAGTTTTTATTTATTTGAAAGAGTTACATAGAGAGAGAGGGGGAGAAACAGAGAGAGAGATCGTCCATCCACTGATTCATTCCACAAATGGCTGTAACAGCTGGGTCTGGGCCTGGCCAAAGCCAGGAGCCAGGAGCTTCATCTGAGTCTCCCACATGGATGCAGGCACAATAGCAGGGAGCTGGATTGGAAGTGGAGCAGGCAGAACTCGAACTGATGCCCATATGGCACGTCAGCTTCGCAGGCTGTGGCTTAACCTGTCACTCCACAATGCTGGCCCCGAGATCTCTTATTTTGTCTATTCTTTTTGTTTAACATCTTGTACACTTTTTCCTTTAAATCCATGAAAACATTTTAACAACTGTTTTTCATCTTTTTGTACTAATTCCAGTATCTGCCTCTCTGGAATGGTTTGTATTGGCACTTTTTCTCTTTATGGTGAATGACATTTACCTGCTTCTTCACGTGTCTGATAATTTTTGTTGTATGCTGTTCATTTTGCATGATATATTTTAGGAAATCTTGATAATTGTAGATCTGAGCATTAACTTTTTGCTATGACAGGAAATATGCTCTGGCAGCTTCTCTTTTTATAAGCTTTAAAATTTGACACACAATAAATACACATGTTCGCAGGGTATAGAGTGTATAATGATCAGATCAGGGTGATCAGCATCTTCCTTTCTTACACTTATCATTTCTTTGTGTTGAGAAGCTTCAAACTCCTCTCTCCTAGTTACTTATAAAATATGCTACAAATTGTGAACTACCATTACCCTGCTGTGCTATAGACCATTAGAATCATTGCTCTGTGTAGCTGTGTTTTGGCACACATGAGGTCAAATCTCATTCCCCCTCCCTCTCCCCTTCCTTCCCCTCCCAAATATGAGTGAGAACGTATGGTACTTGTTTGTCTGTGCCTGGTTATTTTGCTTAACATATCTTCCGTTTCCATCTAAGATGCTGCAGATGACAGAACTTCACTCTTTTTCATGGCTGAATAATATTCCCTTGCATACATTTTCCTTTTCTACTCATCCACTGAAGAATACCTCAGTTGACTCTGTATCTTGGCTATTTTGTTTAGTGCTACAATAAACATAGGTGTGCAAGTATCTCTTTGATATGCTGACTTCATTTCCATTGGGTATGTTCCTATGGTATATGTAATGGATCATATGGCATTTCTGTTTTTAGTTTTTTGAGGAGCCCCAATACTGTTTTCCATAAAGGCTGTATTAACTTACATGCCCACTAACTGTGTAAGAGTTCTCTTTTTTCTGCATCCTCACCGGCATTTGTTGTTTTTCGCTTTTCTGATTAGAGTCATTCTAACTGGAGTGAGGTCGTCTCTCTTTGTGGTTCTGACTTGCCATTTCCCTGATGAGTGATGATACTGAGTAGTTTTTCATATACTCATCGGCTGTTTGTATATCTTCTTTTGATAAATATCAGTTAAATCATTTGCCCACTTAAAAAATCAGGTTAATTTTTTGGTTGAGATTTTCAGTTCCTTGTATATTTGAATGTTACTCCCTTGCCAGATAAATATTTTTGCAAATATTTTCTCCTATTATGCAAGTTGTCTGTTCTCTCCATTGACTGTTTCCTTTTCTGTGCAAAAGCCTCTTAGTTTGATATAATCCTATTTGTCTAATTTTTCTTTTGTTGCCTGTACTTTCAGGGCCCTATCCAAAAAATCGTTGCCTGTATCAATGTCTCAAAATGTGTCCCTTGTGTTTTCTTCTAGTAGTTTCATAGTTGCAGGTCTTACATGTAGGTCCTTGATCCACTTTGAGTTGACTCAAATATGGTGATAGATAGGGGTCTAGTTTCATTCCTTATATGGATATCCAGCTGTCGCACACCATTTCTTGAAGGAACTGTCCCTTCTCCAGTATATGGTTTTGGTGCCTGGATGCATGGATTTATTTCTGGGTTCTCTATTCAGTTTCTTTAGTATATATCAATTTTTATGTAATACCATGCTGTTTGGTAACTATAGTTTTGTACTGTTTTTAAAAGATTTATTTATGCATGTATGTATGTATATATGAGAGAGATTGATTGATTTCCCTCTGCTGGCTTACTTCCTAAATGACAGCAACAGCCAGGTCTGGGCAAGGAACTCCAAACACTTGGGCTATCATCCGCTGCCTTTCCAAGCACATTACCAGGGAGCTATGTTGGAAGTGGAGTAGCCAGGACTCAAATTGGCACTCTGATATGCAATGCCAGCATTACTAGCCATGGCTTCATCCACTGACACATTACTGGTCCCTATAGTATGTTTTGAGGTCAGGTATTATAATGTCACCTGCCTTGTTCTTTTTGCTCAAGATTTCTTCGGTAATTTGGGGTCTTATGTGGTTTCAAATGAATTTTAATATTGTTTTTTTCTATTTATGTGATGAATGTCATTGATAGTTTGATGGGAATTGCATGGACTCTGTAAACCAGAGTAGTATGGACATTTTAACAGTGTCTTCCAATCCATGAACGTGTGGTTCTTTCCTTTTTTTTTTTTTCAATTTCTTTCATCAGCATTTTGCAGTTTTCATTGTAGATATCATTCATTTTTCTTGGTTAAATTTACTCCTAGGTGTTTTTTGAGATAGCTAATGTGAATGGGATTGTTTTCTTAATTTTTTCTCATCAAGTTCATGATTAATGTATAAAATTATCATTGATTTTGTATGTTGATTTCATATCCTGAAATTGTACTGGATTGATTAATCAGTTCTAAGAGTTTTAGGGTGGAGTATTCAGATTTATACACACACACACACACACACATACACACATACACACACATACACACACACACACATAAATGTCCTTCAGCAGATCCTCTTCATCTCTGGACCCTTTCAAGAGCTTGGTTTTAGACTTTGGGTGGGTGGGTATAATTCAGTGTGTTGTCTACTCAACATTGTGATTCTTACTCTCTTGATGTGTCCTTTCTAGAACATCAGCTGAATACCAAGGTACCCAGAGAGCTTTTTCCACTCTCATAGGGCTGCAGCTTCCATGTGTGTTAGTGGCAAAGGGCCTCTGATATCTCCATTCAACTTCTAGTCCCCTGGCAGCCACTCCCTGTTAGGTCTCAGGGAATTCCATCCTGCCTTCATGCAACCCAGCCCTGTGAAGGACTTGAGAGGAACTTTCTTACAGACTTCTGCACCTGTCCACCCGCATCTTCTTCCTCTCCAGGACAGCTGTCCAAACTCCACATAGACAGCCATTTGTGTCTAGAGCAGAATGGAGTTTTTTTTCCTCTTGAATTTCCTCCTCCTTCTCACTTCCTTGCTCAGGAGGTGACATATTCCCACTATCTACTCTATCTCTAATACCACCTTCTCCCCCCGGCTCCTTTTTACCACAAGCTGCAGCCAATTTGTCTTTGTGTCTTCTCTTTATCCTCATGCAACCACATTAATTGTTCTCAATGTTATGGTCCCTAATGCATCAGGACCAGTAAAACGCAGGACACATAATAGATATTTACTAAATGTTTGTTGAGTGAATAATGACATTCTTATATAATGAGATGTTTTTCTTATCCAGATCAGGTCACTTGGACTAGCTGATATTATTTGTTGTATTTGGTCTTTGGGTCGTGTTCAGTATGGCCCAGCCTATATTAAACCCTTTTTGGGGTAAGACAATTCAAAGTAAGTCTACTTTTAATTATGCCGATATATTGGACCATCTCATAAGCAAGGCTACCTAGTTTTCTAAGAACAGCCAAAGCAACAAATATTTCTATACTGCCACTATTTTCAGTTTTACTGATAACCCAAGTTTTTCTTAAGGTGCTGTCATTAGAAATTAAGAAACACAGTTAATGAATTAACAGAAATAAGCAAAAGTAGTCATAAACATTTGTGCTATGCCAGAGACACAAAATTTATTAGAATGATGATGAAGAAGTTCTTCAGTTTCCAGAAATATACCACCTAGAACTGGAAACAGAATTCCCAAAGCACCCAAAGAATGATACCCTTTAATATGAAGGAATCCAACAAGTTTGGGAAGTCCATGGCCGTTGGCTACTCAAAGTACGCTTGGTTACATGGTTACAGAGAACAGCTACATGGGCATTGAAGGTCTCTTGGTTTCTCTATTTTTTTAGGGAGTAGGGTGGGGAGGTTATCATTGATCCAGCATTTCTGTTCCATCTTCTAAGACGGAGTAAATTAGTTACAGGTGCTGAGACAGGTGACCACTAAGACTTCTTCTGGGTTGACGTCTTCAGTATCAGGTGCTGAGCAGAGCTGCTGTCCATCAGCAGTTTCTTGGGATGCAGGGATCACAGGAGTTGCTCTGGACATAGGTTGTGAGGTTGAGGGTCTCCAGGCTTGGGGTTGGCTGGGGGGAGTTGAGCAGGAAGCAGGAGGGCACACAGGGCTGAGGAATGTGGCAGGGTGGGGGGCAGTTGTCACAGCAGGTTGGCTCCAGCTGCCAAACCGTGTGGGGGCAGGTGCTGGGCAGGCAGACTCCGCAGCGGCAGCATTTGTCAGAGGTGCAGATGGTGGTGGCGGGGCCGGTGGGGACGCTGCAGCAGCGGGCAATACAGCAAGCCATGGCGTGGGGAGTCGGGTTTGCCTTTGGTTCCTAAGGACGGTGAGGTTTCTGAGGTGCACATGTCTCCTGCAGCCTTGGGCTTTATATACCCTTCCCAGTGGGCGTGGGTCCAACCAGAAGGCTTCTTTCCTGGTTCTTGTTCATGTTAGTGCGCCCATTATCCTGTAATTGTTTTAACATTTAGATGTCTGTCAAGAGTCTCTATTCTCCTAATTAACTTTTATTTGAGTTCTTTGCTAAATGGGAACTGCTGGCTCTTGCTATGGGTCACCGGAGCAGCTTTGTGATGAATCACCAAAGGCTCCTGCTGTGAGAACTCCAGCACCAGCCCTGCTGAGGAGCTGTGCCCGGCAGCCTGGTCCCGGCTGCTCAGCGCCCACTCCCTTTGCGTCCTCTGTGTCAGTTGGTCTGGTGAAGTGTTCGTGTTTTGATGCATTTGATTTTGGTTACCTTCTTTTAGATTTGAGCTTTTGGAAAACAAAATTACACTAATGTGGAAAAATATGCTACTGAGAAAACTGGGATGTTAAAAATATTATTTCTAGCTTCTTACTATAAAATATATTTATTTTAAAAAATAGGTAATTGTAGAAAAGTCTAAAGGGAGCAACTCATCCATAACCCTGTCATCAGGAGAAATTCCTGGGGAAGATGATATTTGGTGCAGCAATTCAGATGCCACTTGGAACGCCAGCATCCCATATTGGAGTGCCTCTGTTCACATCCCACTCTGCTTCCAATACAGCTTCCTGCTAATGTGCACCGGGGAGACAGCAGGTGAGGTCTCAAGTAGTTGCAACTCTGCCACCTGTATGGGACACCCAGATGGAGATCAGGCTCATAGTTTCCACCTGACCCAGCCCAGGCTGTTGTGGGCATTTGAGGAATGAACATGCAAATGGAATATATGTCTCTCACTCTCACTCTGCCTTTCAAATAACTAAAACACAGGCAGGCATTGTGGTACGGTGAATTAAGTTGCTGCTTGGACCCCCCCCTCCCATTCCATATTGGAGTTCTGGTTCAACTCCTGGTTGTTCCTCTTCTGATCCAGCTTCCTGCTCGTGCAGTTGGGAAGCAGTGGATGGTGACCCAAGTACAAGTACAGGCAATGGAAGCAAAATTAGACAGCTGAGATTATATCCAACTCAGAGCTTCTGCACAGCAAAGGAAGCTATTAACAGAGTGAAGAGACAACCTACAGAGTGGGAGAAACATTAGCAAACTATGCATCTGATAAAGTTAATATTCAGAATATACAAGGAGCACAAGAATCTCAACTATAGCAGAACAAACAATTCAGTTAAGAAATAGGCAAAAGATCTGAGTAGACTTCCTTCCTCCCTCCTTCCCTCCTTCCTTCCCTCCCTTCCTTCCTCCCTCCTTCCCTCCTTCCTTCCCTCCCTTCCTTCCTCCCTCCTTCCCTCCTTCCTTCCCTCCCTCCTTCCTTCCCTCCCTCCTTCCTTCCCTCCCTCCTTCCCTCCCTCCTTCCCTCCTTCCCTCCCTCCTTCCCTCCTTCCTTCCCTCATTCCTTCCCTCCTTCCTTCCTTCCTTCCCTCCTTCCCTCCCTCCCTCCTTCCCTCCCTCCTTCCTTCCCTCCCTCCTTCCTTCCCTCCCTCCCTCCCTCCTTCCTTCCCTCCTTCCTTCCTTCCTTCCTTCCTTCCTTCCTTCCTTCCCTCCTTCCTTCTCTCCCTCCTTCCTTCCTTCCTTCCTTCCTTCCTTCCTTCCTTCCTTCCCTCCATCCCTCCTTCCTTCCTTCCTTCCTTCCCTCCATCCCTCCTTCCCTCCCTCCTTCCTTCCCTCCCTCCCTCCTTCCTTCCCTCCCTCCCTCCTTCCTTCCCTCCTTCCTTCCCTCCCTCCTTCCTTCCTTCCTTCCTTCCCTCCATCCCTCCTTCCTTCCTTCCTTCCTTCCTTCCTTCCTTCCCTCCATCCCTCCTTCCCTCCCTCCTTCCTTCCCTCCCTCCCTCCTTCCTTCCCTCCTTCCTTCCCTCCCTCCCTCCTTCCTTCCTTCCTTCCTTCCCTCCCTCCTTCCTTCCTTCCCTCCTTCCTTCCTTCCCTCCTTCCCTCCTTCCTTCCCTCCTTCCCTCCCTCCTTCCTTCCCTCCTTCCTTCCCTCCTTCCCTCCTTCCTTCCCTCCTTCCCTCCCTCCTTCCTTCCCTCCTTCCTTCCCTCCTTCCCTCCTTCCTTCCCTCCCTCCCTCCTTCCTTCCCTCCTTCCCTCCTTCCTCCCTCCTCCTTCCTTCCCTCCTTCCTTCCCTCCTTCCTTCCTCCTTCCCTCCCTCCTTCCTTCCCTCCCTCCTTCCCTCCTTCCTTCCCTCCCTCCTTCCTTCCTTCCCTCCTTCCCTCCTTCCTTCCCTCCCTTCTTCCTTCCTTCCCGCCTTCCTTCCCTCCTTCCTCCCTTCCTTCCCTCCCTTCCTCCCTCCCTCCTTCCTTCCTTCCCTCCTTCCCTCCTTCCTTCCCTCCCTCCCTCCTTCGCTCCATCCGTCCTTCCCTCCCTCCTTCCCTCCTTCCTTCCCTCCCTCCTTCCCTCCTTCCTTCCCTCCCTCCCTCCTTCCTTCCCTCCTTCCTTCCTTCCTTCCTTCCTTCCATCCTTCCTTCCCTCCTTCCTTCCTTCCCTCCTTCCCTCCTTCCTTCCCTCCCTCCTTCCTTCCTTCCCGCCTTCCTTCCCTCCTTCCTCCCTTCCTTCCCTCCCTTCCTCCCTCCCTCCTTCCTTCCTTCCCTCCCTCCTTCCCTCCTTCCTTCCCTCCCTCCTTCCTTCCTTCCCTCCTTCCCTCCTTCCTTCCCTCCCTCCTTCCTTCCTTCCCGCCTTCCTTCCCTCCTTCCTCCCTTCCTTCCCTCCCTTCCTCCCTCCCTCCTTCCTTCCTTCCCTCCTTCCTTCCCTCCCTCCCTCCTTCCTTCCTTCCTTCCTTCCTTCCCTCCTTCCTTCCCTCCCTCCCTCCTTCCTTCCTTCCTTCCTTCCCTCCCTCCTTCCTTCCTTCCCTCCTTCCTTCCCTCCCTCCTTCCTTCCCTCCTTCCCTCCCTCCTTCCTTCCCTCCTTCCCTCCTTCCTTCCCTCCCTTCTTCCTTCCTTCCCGCCTTCCTTCCCTCCTTCCTCCCTTCCTTCCCTCCCTTCCTCCCTCCCTCCTTCCTTCCTTCCCTCCCTCCTTCCCTCCTTCCTTCCCTCCCTCCTTCCTTCCTTCCCTCCTTCCCTCCTTCCTTCCCTCCCTCCTTCCTTCCTTCCCGCCTTCCTTCCCTCCTTCCTCCTTCCTTCCCTCCCTTCCTCCCTCCCTCCTTCCTTCCTTCCCTCCTTCCTTCCTCCCTCCCTCCTTCCTTCCTTCCTTCCTTCCTTCCCTCCTTCCTTCCCTCCCTCCTTCCTTCCTTCCTTCCTTCCTTCCTTCCTTCCTTCCCTCCTTCCTTCCCTCCCTCCCTCCTTCCTTCCTTCCTTCCTTCCCTCCCTCCTTCCTTCCTTCCCTCCTTCCTTCCCTCCCTCCTTCCTTCCCTCCTTCCCTCCCTCCTTCCTTCCCTCCTTCCTTCCCTCCTTCCCTCCCTCCTTCCTTCCCTCCTTCCTTCCCTCCTTCCCTCCTTCCTTCCCTCCCTCCCTCCTTCCTTCCCTCCTTCCCTCCTTCCTTCCCTCCCTCCCTCCTTCCTTCCCTCCTTCCTTCCCTCCCTCCTTCCCTCCTTCCTTCCCTCCTTCCCTCCCTCCTTCCTTCCCTCCCTCCTTCCCTCCTTCCTTCCCTCCCTCCTTCCTTCCTTCCCTCCTTCCCTCCTTCCTTCCCTCCCTCCTTCCTTCCTTCCCGCCTTCCTTCCCTCCTTCCTCCCTTCCTTCCCTCCCTTCCTCCCTCCCTCCTTCCTTCCTTCCCTCCTTCCTTCCCTCCCTCCCTCCTTCCTTCCCTCCCTCCTTCCCTCCTTCCTTCCTTCCCTCCTTCCTTCCCTCCCTCCTTCCTTCCCTCCCTCCTTCCTTCCCTCCCTCCCTCCTTCCTTCCTTCCTTCCTTCCTTCCCTCCATCCCTCCTTCCTTCCTTCCTTCCTTCCTTCCTTCCCTCCATCCCTCCTTCCCTCCCTCCTTCCTTCCCTCCCTCCCTCCTTCCTTCCCTCCCTCCCTCCTTCCTTCCCTCCTTCCTTCCCTCCCTCCCTCCTTCCTTCCTTCCTTCCTTCCTTCCTTCCTTCCTTCCTTCCCTCCTTCCTTCTCTGCCTCCCTCCCTCCCTCCCTCCTTCCCTCCCTCCCTCCCTCCCTTCCTTCCTTCCTTCCTTCCTTCCTTCCTTCCTTCCTTCCTTCCTTCTTTCCTTTCTCCTTCCCTCCCTCCCTCCCCCCCTCCACCATTTCTTTTGTAGAGTTACAGAGAAGGAGGGAGAGAGGGAGAGAGAGAGAGAGAGAGAGGTCTTCCATCCACTGGTTCACTCTCCAAATGGTTGGAATGGCTGGAACCAGGTCGATACGAAATCAGGAGCTTCTTCCTCATCTCCAATGTGGGTACAGGGGTCCAAGCACTTGGGCCATCTTCCACTGCTTTCCTAGGCCATAGCACAGAGCTGTATCAGAAAAGGAGCAGCCTAGTAACAAACTGGTGCCTATATAGGAAGCTGGTACCACCGGCAGAGACTTAGCCCATCATGTCATAGCACTGGCCCCCTGAGTAGACATTTTTGAAATACAGATAGCCAACAAACACATGAAAGAAGTAAAAAAAAAAAAATGCTGGCAAGGATGTGGAGAAATAAGAACCCTAATACACTGTTGCTGGGAATGCAAGTTAGTACAGCCATTATGGAAAACATTATGCAGATTCATCAAGAATATGATTTACCATTTAGTAGATTTACCATATGACCCAGCTATGCCACTTCCAGGGATATATCCAAAGGAAATGAAGTCAGTGTTTAAAAGAGATGCCTGTTTATTGCAGCCCAATTCACAATAACAGAGATACAGAACCAACCTAGACATCCATTAACTGATGACTAGATAAAGAAAAAACACATATACCTACATACATACGTGTGTACACATACACATGCATACACACATAGAAACATACACACAGACACACACACACACACACACGATGGACTCTTAGTCAACCATAACAAAGAATGAAATC